ATCCAACTAATTTTAAGACTTAAAACTTAACTCTTTAATGACTTTTTATCCGGCATAGTTTTTATATTTCAGTGACTTACCTATAAGGTTAGGTAACCTATTTATAGTAGATAGCTTGGCTGGTTAGGCTATATTTATATAAGTAGCATAGACGTTGACTTCACGTGGGCAACAGGGAAATCGCCCCGTAGATACTTTGATTCTAAGGGTGGCTTCACCCCCGTATCTCAACTAAAGAAGTTAAAACTTAAAAAAAATGTTTAAAGCTTATGTGCATAAAAATTATTTGATTATTATTAGAGCATTTATAGCTAATGAGTTTTGACATGGAAATGTTCATCAAAAAAACTTATATGGGTAGAGATAAAATACAACTATGATGACGTTGGTTATAAATATATATTATATATAAGTAAACTATTAATCATTAGAGTATTGATGATAGTTTTCTCCGGCTTTCCATTGTAGAGCCGCCGCAGTGTAAATCGACATGCGACCGTGCAACGATTGTGCGTCTGTAGTCTGTACCACAATTAAAGTTATTATGGTTGCCCAACGAATCTAGAAAAGTTTCTACCGGAATGAATCTCTATAAACAGTAATAAACAGCTGGAAATGTAAACACTACCTAGTGCTTAATTATTGTAGTGACTATAAATGCACTATGCACTATGCAGTTACCTTTAAAATAGTAAATTGTAGTTGCTCGATAGTCAGTATGACATATAAGCGCTAGTGCGTAAATCTCCAGCTGTTTAATATTGATTATAGAGATTAATTTCGGTAGACACCTTTCAAATATGAGAATCATGGTTCGATGGTAATCCCATCTATAGTCGTAGTGTGTACCTACTTGATAATTTTATTGTTGCTGTTAATACAGCAACAATAAAGCGTACTCGTTTTAATTCAGACTAGCAACGCTAAGGTAATTTGTTTTATATTATTAAATAAAATTCTTATATTCTTCTATTTTATAGATCATATTTAACATTTGAGTCAAAATTTTTCTATAAACTTTTAGGACATACAAAATAAGTACTTTAGATTCTAAGTAATATATAATGTTTATGTGGAAGTATGTACAAAACGTTCAAAACAATTCCACATCTAATAACCGAATAAGTTCTGATAATAGTTTATCTGAAAATAATTCGTCTCTAAAAGATTGTGAAAAAGCTATTTATAGGTTAGATATTTATATTTGATAGTACTTTGTATTCATAATTTTTATGATCACATAAAAATGATGTATAATAATCATTTTTAAATACAATTTTAAAAAAAAAGGTGGGCAAGTGGGTGTCGCTCTGCTGTACAGTAGTTTACAAGTGGGTCACTGTATAATGGATGGTATTACATTTGAATTCAATGATATTATATCATTGTATAAGAAAAACGATTCTGAGCGGAGACGGTATGCCCTTCTAGGTATAAGACATATTATATACTTATCTATGGTATTAAAAAAAATTGACCTATAATGAATTCCAAATTAATCATATCACAATATCCATTAGGTACTTATAACGCGTTATACACCAACAACATAGATATATAGTAGTATACTTTACAAGTTTCAAGTACCCACGAATAATATTATTCAATCACAACAAAATAACTAAAATAGTTATACTAGGTTTTTTATTATGTAATTTCGTCCAAATTTGAATTTAAAATATCTGTAAAAAATAACTGTGTTCATATATTTTTTAGATTTTTTGGTTACAGTATGAACTATTTATGAGAACCTTTGTTTTAAATTTAGTAATCCTTAGCTATAAAAACTGAACATTTTATAATTTATTAATTACAATGATTTATAATTTTCGATTAAAAGTGATAAATTTTGTCAAAATTCGATCTTTAATAGCTTATAAAAAAAAATTGTGCCTATGTATTTTTAATATTTTCCAATTGCTATTGTAACAATATATCAGGAGCCTTGTATTAAATTTGTACACTTTTTGGCCCAACAGATAAAAATTTATTGATATTTATAGAAAAAAAAACTAAAAAAAATTGAAAGCTTTAAATGTCCGTAAACAGCTCAAAAAGAGTCAAATTTTTTTAAAATTGCATGGTGTATAGGAAATGCTAATATAAACATTCGTTGAAATTTCACCTCGGCAGATCCTTCTGGTCCGTGCCTTCTGAGGCGGGACTGGCAGGTCCTGCGTAGGGAGAGGGCCGTTGATCTGAGGTCAGCAATGTGATCAGTCCACCAGTACATTGGCCTCCTCCCCGCAGGCCGTGGGGACCTCAAGGGCATTGAAGCGTCGCAGGCTTCAATAATGTAGTTGTCGAGTGACTCTGCTGCTCTGACCGCAGAATTTCCCCCCTCCCCATCCCGTCACAGGGTGATGATAACGATGACCAACTTGAAAGTCTTAATGATGTGAACCCTTTCCAAGCATTGGCAGAAACAGTATTTAATAAAAGTAAACGTCATGTACAAGAAGGGGTAAGTATAAATCCATTGTATGCTTCAAAAATAGTACCTCATCTGATTAAGATGATGAAATTTCTCCCATTGTGGTCGGGAATAATGGTACCTTTTTTTGGATATGCAGTCGGTTAAGTTTTCATAAACTCAAAAATGTAACGCTAAAGCATGTTTCTTTACCTACGGATACAGAATTTTTTTTAGAAAACCATATACGTTTTTTAAAAGGATTGTAAAGGGACAAAACGAGCAGGTTTTGGAATAGCTGGCGCTATCTATTGGTGGCCTGACGTGCACGAACGAAGTCCGTGGTACCTACTGAATAATGTATAGGTACGCACTTTTATCGACTTAACGTTATATAAGTACAATATCCAAGTTCGGTATAACTTGAATATCGTTAAGTAATAGTAGTTTACGTGATTTACTATCATCACTCTTGTGATCACGTTTTAATGTCAATTACGAACTTCTTTAACTCACCCAGCGTGAGTGATAAGAACACCGTACAGAGTGCAGGTCGGGATAAAAGCTCTGCGACTTTTCCCGACTTTGACGAGTGCAGAAGTCAAAGTTCGTCCACTCAACATACGTATAGGCTACATAATAAGATATTACAACGAGCTAATATAGCTGCCCATAGCCGAAGACTCATACAACAGTAACCACCTCATATCACCTCTTATCATTTGGCCGAGGGGTATAGATATAGAAGGCGAATTTTGCCGGCTAGCATCAATCAACCGTCGACCAGTCCGATTTTTACGCTTTTCGTTGTTTTCTCGATACAGTATAACTTAACTTAGCTTCCTAGGGTATCCCGCCGCGGAGTCCCCGAACCTGGTATCTGTACCTTCTGGTACACCTCCTCTCTTTACCCTGGGGTGTGAGTAGTGGTACAGCTTTGGCTGTACTGAACAAGCTACTCACACTCAAAGAGTTGGAGAGGGACTCATAAAGCCCCTCTACGCGGATTCTGTAGTGGTACAGATCTGACTGTACTGGTCAAGCTACGGATCCCCTCACAGCAGCAAACAGCTAGCCTCGTCATCGTCACCGAATAATATCGCCGGTACGTTATGCGCGCTCGCATCGTTGCCGCCGATCCGTGCGTCTACCGTTTTCACCGCCGTTAGCACCTACATCGCAACCTTACCCGTTTCTCGCGCCACTGACCGGTACCAATATATTATTTCCGCTGTACGTATCGCTCGTCGCATTTGTTCGTTATTGCAGACACATTTTTTTTATATTTTTACCGCACGAATTATTCACCGTCGCGGAATAATCTGTTTTACGCCGCACACCGCTTTGTCGTCGCAGCTGTCTGTTGTTGCGAATTGAGTTGATATTATTACCGTACTCTTTCCTGAGGCTGTCGTTGGATTTGGAGTACTGGTATTCAATCATATTCATTTGGTGACCACTGCGAGTCTTTTATATTGTCAATTTAATAAAAGTATTAAACATATCTGTGGATCGAAGAGCTGATGTATTAAAAAGAAAATATCGTATTAGGTACATGTTCCATTTTTAATATTTGGAAAAATGACTGTGGCTCGAACAGCGAATGTATAATTAAAAAGAAAATATTGTAACACAGGAATTAATTTTGATGGATGTGATAATAAAAACACACATTGAATTACAAATAAAAACCAGTGTGTTTTGCATTGTTAAATTTAGGCGCCCAACTACGGAGCTCGACTCAAAAAAAATATTAATTCGTTCCACGAACCCCGTCTTGAAGACAGCTACATCATTAAAAACAAAAAAGAAACTTTCTTCGTACCACATCTCAAGTACAAGAAAGAAAAAAGCTACATCAATCAAAATGCCACCAAAAAAATAAACCACCAGTAGGGAAGAACTAAACGAATTACGTAGGGAAATTGAAAGAAGCAGTCAATTACTCGCAGGACAATTATTGGACAAAATTGAAAAACTTGAAGAAAAACATAAAAACAAAATTGAAGAAATTAAAGAGAAACAGAAAAATAAAATAAAAGACTTAGAAAATGATTTAAATTAAATAAGATTTTTGTATACCAATCAAGCAAAAAACAATGAGTACAATACACGCCACGACACTACTCGAAGTATTGAAGAAACCCGTCCAGTGTTTTACGGTAATAATAAAGATATACACCCAATCGATTTTCTAAATCGTATGGAAGTATATTTTGCCATCACACAGACATATATAGGAGAGAAAATTATAGTAGTAGGGGACTGTCTACGTAATGCAGCATCCAACTGGTTCACCACTGTCCGTTTCCAGATGGAGAACTACGATGATTTTAAAAAAGCGTTTATTGATGAATATTGGTCACGTGAGATACAGATACAAATATGGAGTCAGTGTTTGAGCATAAAACAAATCCCAGCCAATGAAAACTTCAGATAACATTTTGCCACCTGGGCAACAAAATTACGACATCTCGAAGTTCCCAGGTTATCAGAACAAGAAATTATAAAGAATATTGCGAAACACTACCCCGGATACCTCAGAGCGAAACTGGTATCAGTACCAGAAAGAACCATACTTGCAGCCATGGGAATTCTGGGAGAAGAAGGAGCAAGTCCCCGCCCTCCGGAGAATAATTCACCACCGAATAACAACCAATCAAACCACGGAGGTGATAGACGAACACAAGACAACAACAATCATCAGAACCAATACCAAACTAATAGGGGCCGATATAATAATTGGAACCATCGACCACCACCAAATGTTATTCCAGACAATCGTAATAATAATTGGAATCACAGACCAACACCAACCAATAATAATAATCATAATAACCACGGTGACGGGAGAAATCCACAACAGATCAATCAAATCACCGTGGAACGAAGCAATGACGAAGTACCGGTAGCTAGTAATAAAGTACCCAATTCTTGAAATCATTCGACTATTTGTCGAATGCGATAAACACGTTTGTCGCACGAATTAAAAATAATGTTATTCTCGAAAAGTGAAAAAATTTTGTCGAACAAAAATCATTCGACAATTTGTCGACTGGGTCTTGATGGGTGACAAAACTTTTGTCGCATAATAATATTGTTTTATCACGAAAATTGTTTTCCGCGGGCTTTTGCGTGGAGGCCGAAATTTTGATATGAAACAAAATAATAATTAGAATCTTCAATCTACACGTCTTCCTAAAAAGTATATGTACACGACCGACGTCTCTACCTATAGAAAAAAGAACACGTACAATGGATTTTGATTTAATGGCATATTTCGTTAACATCAATCAACAAATGAATTATACAAGAAATAATTTTCAAAGGCCTACTTACGATGCTTTTGCGTTGACAGATAGACTGTTCATGAAGAATTTTCGGCTATCAAAAGAATTAACGCAGTATTTGATTAATATATTAAAGCCGTACATTGTTGTCGATAGCCGATTATCCTCTATCGATATTCAAACAAAAGTAAAGTAAAATGTGTGATTATTAATCTAGTTTAGTGTACATTCAATGTTTTTACTTTAAGTTTACGATACCCACATTGAAATACACGGGATTTGGAAAAAAGAATTTGTGTGAACGCTAAACTGGATTTGATCTTTATTGTCATTTGTAATCTAAAGGCCAATAATAATCTTTTTTTTAAGGTTTTAGTAGCTTTAAATTTTTTTGCTACCGGGTCGTATCAAACGTCAGTTGGCAATAGTCGACTAATGAATTTGTCACAGTCATCTGTATCTAGATGTGTAAAAGAAGTAGTTGCTGCATTGAACCAGCCCGAAATATTTAACACTTGGGTAAAATTTCCTAGCAATATTCAAGAGCTTGATGAAGTCCGTAACGAGTAATATAATATGTTAAATTAAAAATGTACATTATAAAAGATTATGTGCTGTTTAAAACTGTGAAGGTTTTATAAAAAAACTGGATTTGCTGGTGTAATAGGCTGCTTAGATTGTACCCATTTAGCCATTGTGTCTCCTTCAAAAAATTTGAATCTTGTTGAAAATCAATATCCAGAATATATGTATGTAAACCACAAGAGTTACCATTCAATTAATGTTCAGCTAGTAAGTAGGATTACCGGCTATTATAAAATTACAAGTAAATCATAAATTATGTTTCCAAAGTAACTACACAATGCTTCACTTTTTAAATATAGGTATGTGATTCAAATCTAAAAGTACTGAATGTAAACGCACTGTTTCCCGGAAGTACTCACGATGTCCACATATGGAACAACAGCAATGTTTCAATCATGCTCAAAGAACTACATGCACATAATTATAGTGACTACTTTTTATTAGGTAAGTTTTATTTCATAATACTAGTAAACCATAATAATTTGTGTACCTACTAGGAAGAGATACATATTATTAACTTTCTCACAACTTAAAGTGGTTATATGATACAATCAGTTGACAAAAAATTAATTATAACAATATGTGTAATTTAAGTATAAGTATTACAAACTTTTTTATGTATTTTAATAGGCGATTCTGGTTATCCGTTACGCCCATGGCTTCTAACGCCTATTGCTCAACCAACCACAGCAGCCGAAGAAAATTACAACAAAAACCAAATGTATGTAAGAAGTGTAATAGAAAGATGCAATGGAGTCCTAAAAATGCGGTTTAGGTAGCAAATCAATATTTTCTTAAGTTTTATTCAATGTGTTGGTAATACCATTGGTACTTTTAAATCATGCGTAGGTGTCTTTTGAAGGACAGAGTACTCCATTATAAGCCAGAAAAGGCCACTGCTATAATTAATGCATGCATTGTTCTACACAACATGTGTATCGAGAACAATATTGTTGAGGTGATAGATGAAACTGTAGAAGATTTTGATTTGGGAATGTATCACAATCAAGAACCACTCAATGAACACGTGAATGATAACCGTAATAGAAATTTGATGTTAGGAAGAAGACAACGAGACAGAATTGTAGGGTTTCTTCAAAATCGAAATTTAATACAACCATAAGCAACTGTTTCAATTCCATAAAGTATATTATACTAAGTATTTAGTCATTATAATTTAAAATAAAATAGTTAATTTGTTAATAAATGGCAGTCTTGCAATTGTTGAGTTAATTATTATTACAATATAACAAATAATAATTATAATAGAATATTAAAAACATAATTGATTAAAATCTTAATCACAGCTACCTTGCTTAGTATTTAGAAATAAATATATATATAAATGAAAATAAAAATAAAAACATAAAGTTGTATATTAAAGGGCTAGTTTAAAATAAAATAGTTAATTTGTTAATAAATGGCAGTCTTGCAATTGTTGAGTTAATTATTATTACAATATAACAAATAATAATTATAATAGAATATTTAAAACATAATTGATTAAAATCTTAATCACAGCTACCTTGCTTAGTATTTAGAAATAAATATATAAATGAAAATAAAAACATATAAAGTTATATATTAAAAAACAAGTTGAGTATAACATGGTAATAGTTAAATAAGTGGCAGTCTTACAATTGATTTGTATTTTTACTTGTACCTATAAGATGTAACAAAGAATTACTAATATTTTTCAATGTGTCACTTTGATCCTGCATTATTCTTAATTTCTCTGAATAATATGCCTGCTTAATTTCAATTTTTTTCTCGGCAAGATCTCCAAGACGTATTGTTGCTGAATTTGTGTCCAAAAATCTATGTTTGCTTAGTTCTGTAAGTTACGAACATGGTATAAATATATGAAAAGAGTATACACCAGTGATGCCCAACCTTTTTTCCTCGGCGGGCCACTTTGGTAAACATTTGTAATCTAGCGGGCCACCAAATATAAAAGTACTCATATTCTCAATCTTAATATAATTTAGTTACACATCGTAGGTTGCAATATAATATGGAGGTACATGTTGGACTGGTTTTCTTATCTTTTTTATTGAGTATAGCACAGATATGTATACTATACACACTTTAAAATATTACAAAAAAAAAAAAAAAATACCAAATAAATTTGAAATATAAAGCCATATATTGCACATTTTTACTATTTAGTTTTCACTATAATATGTACTGGATTAAACATTTATATTATGATACAATTATGAAGTTTTTTAAAAAATATATCATATTATAATAGGTATGTGAGTTAATATAATAATATAAACAAAATTATTTAAAAAAAAATAATAATAGTTCTTTTAAATGATTTTTAAGTAGCTATATCAGTGATCTATTTCTACTACCGTACAGTGGATATTTTAACTAGAAATATCGTCTGCAGTACCATAGTCATGTACCAATAAAAAGATTACTAATTAAAAATATAATAAATATAAATTCTTACTAGGCTTTTGAGAACTTTTTTGTTTTGGTGGCTGGTAAAAAGAAGTCTCCAAAGGTTTTTGAGATTTTGATCCAGAAATGTCAATGCCAGCTACAAAATATGTAATTAACATACATATTAATTAGTCAAAAACAAAATAAAATTGTTGCTTAGTTATACTTGGATCATTGGCAGAAATTTCATTAGGTTGTACATAATAAGTTTCACTTTCTGGACAAACGAAGGCTATAAAATAATTTGTAAATCACATAGGTACAAGCAATTAGAATTATTTGATATTTTAAAATTAATAATTATATAAATAAATGACTATTATACAAAATACTTACAATCAGAATCATCTCCCATGATGACTTCAATATTGTCATCATCATCATCGAACAATTGACTATCTACACATTTTTAATCATTTAAAAATATTTTTATAAAAGAAAATATTTTTTCAGTTATTTACTGTAAACATTTGTAGCGTTGTTGTTAAATGACATTTTAACAATTGATTCGTGGCTCTTTTTATGTCCTGTAATAGCAACATCGCTTAATTGTGCTATTGCATCCGATTGCACTTCAGTTAAATTAATATTACATGGAGGTCCGCCACCAGTGCCACGGCTATGGCGCTGAATAGCAGCAGCCTTTGTTTTTGCTGTATTTTTTGTATCTTGCCATGCCTAATAGTAATAATTACAATATTAACTGAAAGAGTGTAATGTTTTTAAGTATTCAACTGAGAATTTTTCAATGTGTAATCTACAAAATGTAGTGTTCTATAATATTAAACAGCAAGCTACATGAAAACCTAAGGACAGCCAAACTAAATATTATTTATTAATTACCTTTTTCCACTTGTCCCACGATTTATCAGCGCCTGGTAAGGAGTTGAGCTTACCCGCTATTTCCTCCCACATATCTTTAGCCACTCTCTGAGTGAAAGTGGAAGAGAATTTTCCGGACATTAGTTCAGGATTCACAGCTATTAACTCAACCAGCATTTTCATTTGGCCTTTTGTAGGCCGGCTTTTCAATTTCTTGTCACCCAAGGACATGGTTGGAGGTAGTACAAAAACGTCAAAAACAAAACAAAAAAATACTGCCTACCTATTTAATAGGATTTACGATAGGGTTAATACGATCGTAGAAATTATTTAATTAAGTACTATTTACTAGTGGGAAGTACAATATTTTTAATAGTATCATTATTTTATTTGTAATCACTAATCATTTTTACAGTTTGAGGTTAGAATAATGTATTTATTATTGTTACCACAGTGGTTCATGCGAGACAATTTATCGCACTCGATAAAAGAAAAAAACGTTATCGATACTAGTTCAAGAATACCTCTCGTTACTCGAATTCGATTTACTTTAGTCGTATTCGATAATTTTATCATTTCAATTGAAATTTCATTTCAAGAATTGGGTCCCAGGAGCAGAGGAGGATTGGCAAAAATGGAAAAAAGTAATTACCTAACTTTGTTTGGTGAAGATATTTATTTTACAATTTCAAGTATTTGTTTCTGAATCCATAATCTATACTCGGCCGAAACATTGTTAAAAATACTGTAACCAAACTCTAAGTTCTCTTGCTATTTAATACTCTTAATCTTCGCTCTAGGTACCGAAAAAAAAACCAATATCATAATCTACAGTTATTATTGTAATATTAAAATATTATTTAAAATAAAAGCACATATCTATGAAAATTGGAAAATTTTTTTTTCTTATTGAAAACTTTAAAAACTTTTTTTCATAAATATTTTACTCATTAGTGTTATTTATATTTTAGACATGACAAGATACTAGAAATATTACAAAAACAAAAGCTGGCAAGACAATAGCAAAAGCTATTAAACGGCATCTAGGGGGTACAGGTGGTGGACCAAGTTGTTCAGTTGAGAATTAAATGCAATTCAAATAGAAACGCTACCTTTATTGAGAAAATCATCAATTAGTGGTCAGAGCGATTCGGTTGAATCAATTGTCCAGTTTGACTTTGATGGCTCTCTCGAAGATGTGATAAATTATAAATTAACACATCAATTTATTCTAGTAATAGTCTTACTTAAATCATTGCACCCTATAGTTTTTAAACTAAAATAATAGAATATAGAATACTAACCTTATATATTATACTAATGTGTTAATTTCAGCGCAATAACGGACTAACCCACAAATTTACAATAATTGAGTTAATGACATTAATTGCAACTATACACCATATAATTCAATCCGTAAACGGTCTAAGCCACCCTCACTAAATATTTACTTATTTGATAGGATTGATAGGGTACTTAAAAATAAAGGAGAAAATAGTACCCCTCCCAGTGATCGTAGAGGAAAGGGTCCATCGGCAAATAAGACATCTCCGGAAAAAATTGCTGAAGTAAAAAATTTCATAGAAAAATTTCCTGCATACGAAAGCCACTATGCCCTTCATAAATCGACAAATCGTAAATATATGGCTTCTGATTTAAATATTATCAAATTGTACACACTATACACTGAACAAGTTACAAATCCTGTTTCAAGTTTTGTTTTTAGAAAAATGTTTAATGAAGAATTTAATTTATCTTTCCATCCACTTGTATCAGATTCTTGTAGAAAATGTGATGCATACGATATAAAAATTAAAGCAGCAGAATCTGAAGCACATAGGAATAATCTGAAACAGGAATTGTAATTACATCAAAGAAAAGCAATTAGTGCACGTACTGGTCTTCAAAGCGACACTGAATTGGCTAAAAACAACCCTGAAGACGTTACAGTTATAACATTTGATTTGATGAAAACATTACCTACTCCTTTACTATCAACGGCTATTTGTTACTATAAACGGCAGCTATGGACGTATTGCTTCGGAATACACAACATGGGTAACGGTGACGTTTACATGTTTGTCTGGGATGAGTCAGTTACCTCTCGGGGTCCCCAAGAAATAGGATCTTGCATTTTGTATTTCTTAAAAAAATTTGTTTCAACAGAACATTTAATTATGTACTCCGATCAGTGTGGGGGCCAAAACCGCAATATTAAATTATCTCTTTTATGTCAATACATTGTTTCTAGTCCTGAATACATGGTTAAAAATATTGATCATACATTTTTGGTAAGTGGTCATTCATACTTGCCGTGTGATCAAGACTTTGGTCTTGTTGAAAAACAAAAAAAGTTGTTTCCAAACATTTTTATTCCAGAACACTGGAATAACGTTATTTTGGCGGCACGTAAAAAAAAACCTTTCAAAATCATTTGTATGAATAAAAGCGATTTTTTTTCGACAATAAAATTGGAAAAAAATATTACACACCGCAAAATCGATGTTGATAAATCTAAAGTTGAGTGGTTAAAGATACAATGGTTGAGATTTTCTTTCGAAATGCCTTACAAAATATTTTTCAAATATTCGAACAATGATATTGCTCAATTTAGTGAACTTAATTTAGAAAAACGAAACACCACACTAATCGCAAATTTAGATTTACTTTACCCTAATGGAAACTGTATAAATCCGCTGAAAAAGAAAGATTTGTTATGTTTACTAGATTATGTTCCACCAATTTACCACGAGTTTTATAAAAGCCTTAAGACCAATGCTCAAAATATTGATAATTAAATTCCATTGATTTCTCTAGTGATGATGAATAAAAAAAAGGTTTTGGTAACTTTAATAAATTAATAATATAAAAGTTTACTCATTACATTTTTTAAATATTGTATTTGTTAAATTTATGAATATAAAGAAAAATTTTGTTTTGTTTTTTTTTTTTTATATAAAATATAAGCATTTATATTTATTCATTTTAATAGAAGCAATGATTATTATTATTGTGCTATTTTTAGAAACTGAAGAACTATGCATGGACGATTTTGTGGAATCATATATTTACAATGACAATGGAAATGAAAATCCTGCATTAATTGCCGAAGAAACAGTTAATTCAAGTAAAATTTACACATACTTAAAACATAACATTAAAGAATAATTTACTGATATATTTATATTGTTTTACTATAGCTGAAAATGAAAATACCTACAAACATTCTGGAGCGGCCTTGCCTAATATATAATTGTAATATAATGTAGGGTGACTCTGATGAAATAATAACCAGTTGAAATTAATATATTAATAGTGGACTGTATAATAAAATTACTAAATAAATCACAGTTAATAATAATTGATGTTTGACATAATACAATGTAGAATAATGATTGAATAACAATTATAGGTCATTGTCTTTCAGGCTGAATAAAATGTGCATCAATAACTAATTAACATGATTTTGTGCAATGTATAACAATAAATAATAGTATGACTTAGCGTACAATGTGCGACAATAAATAATCAATATGACTTAGTAGTTAGTACAATGTATAACAATAAATAATAAATATGACTTAGCATACAATGTGCGACAATAAATAATCAATATGACTTAGTAGTTAGTACAATGTATAACAATAAATAATAAATATGACTTAGCGTACAATGGGTGACAATAAATAATCAATATGACTTAGTAGTTAGTACAATGTATAACAATAAATAATAAATATGAACAAATTAACTTAACAATATGACCCGTCAGTCATTACTAAGTGATGCACTACGTACCTTAGGTGTGGTTATGGTGCCATGTGGTGCCCGAATCCGTAGTTAATAAATGTGATTAATTACAATAAAAAATGACAGTTGTGATTCGGCACTCCACACGATCGCCGCTAACCAAACGGCGATGAGATCCACAACATAACCAAAATCTAAGAGACAAGAAAATTACCAACGAACACTAGGTATTGTGACATCGACGGCTAATTTCAAAAACTGACCCTCTTGCAAATGTTCAGACATTTAACAAGTATAACAGCAAGACGCCGAACGATACATACCAACAGTTGAACCTTTTTTAGACAATAAACTACACTCGTGGAAGTTATACGAATAAGACACTGAGATTTGGCTGCATACTAAAAACCACCTGAAACGCACACGCAAGCTATGAATTATGAAAGATGGTAAGAGAAAGGAAAAAATGAAAGAACAACATAACATAGTATGGTCTCATGAACTAAACAACGAACCTTTTGACTTAAAAACATATATAGTGAACATAGGAACGAGTATTACAATAATCTACATGCACGCACCGGAACGTTATCACGAAGCACTGACACACAGCTGAAAACTTGGTAGTCAAATATAATGTGATACTATTGATGATTGGGTACGCGCAAACACATTCAACTTTGAAGCTATCATCTACTAACAATACTCATAGACCAACGCAACCAAGTATCAGCTTAAACAATTTATCATTTATGCGATTAGGGAATAATCCTTTTTCAATTTTTATTTGTGTCTTTCATCGTTTTTTGGGGTAGTAAGAATGCCTAAATGTTCTTCATTAGCATCTTTTCTGGTAGGGAAGTGAATCTAGTTGGTACTTTGGGGTGTTAACAATAGAGAATTCACAATAGTTTTCAAAAGCTTCAGCAAAAACAAACATAAAATTAAGGAAAACTGAAATTTTTATTTAAAACTAGCTTTATTCAAATACTACAATTTTGATTTTTGATGTAAATCTATCCACTTCCCCACCTTTTTAATTGAGGACAGTTATTATTATATTTTATTTATTATTAAAATACAGGCTAAGGTAATTTATAAAAAAAAAAAATACAATAATTCAATGTAATGTTATAGAATTGAAAAGAAAAATGACTGTTGCTTCCAAACTCAGCGAAAGCAATACGACGGCCAATCGTCTAGCGAATATTGCAGAGAAAAAGTTTGACATGAAAGCAGCGTACTACGAGAAAAAAATCAAACTAATGGAAGAAAAAAATGTAACTTTAAAAAATTTAGAAACATCATTCTCTGAATTTGTAAACTCGAAGTTGCAAACATTCCTTTAATTAAAAAACTAGACTGATAAAATTAAATTACAGACTGATTTTTTTTTTTTTGTTTCCTAGTAAAGTTATGTAAGTTATGACTATTAATTTTAATTTTTCTGTTAGCATTGACTATTTTATTTTTATTTACTATAATTTGTTGTTTAAATTTTTAACTAGTTTTGGGAGTTATTTATTTTACCAGAAGGTTACCCATTTTTTTTATGACGTTACTTCATTTTTACAAACATGTTACACATTTTATTTTGTTTTTGGTATTGTTAATAATAACTATTTGTATATATATATACGAGTTGCATATTTATTTCACCGTATAATTATAATGTAAAATATTTACAGAAGTACAGTAATGATTGCTACGTGCGTACAGTCAATACAGCCAATAACGCCAGGAAATCCTGTATCTCTGTAAAAACTAGATAGAACAAAATAATTAAAAATATCTTCGAATGTGCCAAATAAAAAAAAAAAAATGTTAATTACCCATTACGGATATCGGTAAGTTCATTAACATTTTTTGGAAATTTAACCCAAAGGTTAAATATTTCGGGTAGATTAAGTGCAGCTACAACCTCACTTATGCAACGGGATACTGTTGGTTGTGATAGAGCCATAAATCGGCTATTACCAATTGGAGACTACAAAAATCTAAATAATAAATAAATCATAATTTGTAACAATATATAATAATAAAAAATTAACTGAAATCAGGAAAAAATAAAACAAAATCGCCTTCAAGTAGAATAATGACTGTGTATTTACTTTATTATTCAAATTAATTGCAGACGAAAGATTGTTTGAAACTATATGTGGTCTTAATAGGTCGATCAATTCTTTAACAACGTCTTTTGAGAGTCTAAAGTTTTTTTACAAATAAACGATGTGACAATGTAAAAGGATCTGTAACATTGTCTGGATTTCTAGTCTGTCTTTCATAATATATATTATGATTTTCGTGTTCCTCGACGTTGTTAATGGCAAACAACATTGCCATATCATCAAAATTAGCCATTCTAATAGTATATATAGATCAGAATAATAAAAACAAATAATGATTACCTAATAATGCACTAATTACACAAACATAATTAAAATTTACAATTTACAATATTCAAATTCATAACTGATAAGGTTTTAATATGAGTACATGACACTCATAATCATAAATTATCATGAGATATAGGTTAGTCGTCGACTTTCTACCCATTCGACTAAAGCTGCGGCCCCACTGGGAGCGATTCAGCGATTCTGCGTTTCGAGCGTTTCTGTGATTTTACACGCGCGATGTCCATTAGTGATTTTGATGGGGACACTTTAGCGATTTTACATGCGTTTCTAAATTTTTTCCATGGCGCGTGTTCGTTTTAGTTTTTAGTTTTCATTTGCTTATTCGGTCGTCAACCAAGATGACGTCCCGAAAAATGTTACTGGCTGAAAGTGCTTCTTTAATTGATATTAAAGTAAATTTGGCTAAGAAACGTTTATGGGTTCACGAAATAAATATGCATAGACTATCTGAAGGGGAATTTCATACACTATTCAGTAAATTAAAAAATCATCCTGTCAAGTTTTTTGAGTACTGTAGCATGAGTGAACCTACTTTTTATATAATTTTGGAAGCTATAAGAAGCGAAATCGAAAAAGAAGACACCAACTTCTGAAAAGCAATACCTGTAGAAGAAAGGCTATTTCTTACATTGAGGTAAGTTATTTAAATAAATATAATTAAGTGAATAATATATAGAGTGTCTTAAATCTATAAATAACTTTTGTTCAACTCATTTTTCACTTAAACAAAACGAATAAATACCACAACACTGAAACTACAACAATAATATATGTTTCTAAAATTCTAAATACTATATATAACTATAAAAATAATTGTTCTATAACTTCTATAAATTCTAAATAATTTGTTTTTGGGCCTCAAACTTTAATTGTTATTAAAAATATTTATTGTTGAAGCTTGGTATTAAATTATTTAATTATTTAAAAATAAAATAATTACGAGTTAATAACAGGTTTATTTTAACAGGTATATTTTAAAAACCGATTAACCCGTGGTGTACCTAGAATATATAAGTACCAACATTTCACTCATAAGTTGTATTCATACTAACTTACAACATACTTATTTAATTCATATTAGGTACGTAATAGTCATTATAATAAAACATCGTAATTTTTCACTAAAATAAAATGATCAAGATAAGCACTCAACAAACATATTTAATGACATAATATAATAAAAAAAAAACTTAAAAATGGTTTCCTTACCATAACAATATAACTAAAATTAAATTAATTTTATTAGGTTAAACTTTAACTCTAATAAACTTTAATTAATATCTACATAAATTGTACCCTGCTCTTTGAGTGGTTCTGTCTGGCAATTTAGAAACTGGTGTTTGCGTCAAAATTGATTTCTTGCCATGGTTGCCAATGGGAATCGTCATTTGAAACTGACGACTGCGTGGAAACTGATGCTGGTGTACTTGAATACAGTGTGGAAGTAGAAGTTGCAGGTTTAATATTCATAACTTCGTTGTATAAAATTTCTTGAAATTTAATCTTTGTCCTAATTTTTTGTGGTCTGCATAGGGACTTCAAATCAGGCAATAGACTTTTTAAAAACATCAAGTCTTCATCGTCTTTTTCTTCATTTTGTAACAATTTTATTTTTTTTGCCTCAAGATTTA